ACATAAAATAAAATTTAAAATAAAATATATAACACTAAAAAATTTAAAAATCAAATTTAATATAATTAATAAATAATATAATATTTTTAAATTTTTCATAATTTTCAAAAAATATTTTCTAACTCAAATAAAATAAAATAATAATATTTTTTTAAAATTCAAATTAAATTTTTTTTTGAAAAATTTTTTTAATAAAAAACAAACACAGAGAAGTTTTTAAAACTTCTTTCTGAAAAACATATTGGGAGAAAAATAGTTTCAAATCTTGAAAGTTACATACACATCCTTGGGACAAATCAAATCTTGAAAGTTACAGCTCTATCATGCGACTTGCTGAAATAGAATAGAGATACAACGAAGGCGTCCCCACACATAAGCAAGACCCAAAATTCCAAATTAATATAAAAATTCTAAATTTCAATTAAAAAATAAAAACTAAAATTAATATAAAAATTAAATTTTAAAAAATAATTATTCAAAACAAAATACATATAACAATTAAAAATTTAAAAACCAAATTTAATATAACTAATAAATAATATAATATTTTTAAATTTCTCATAACTTTCAAAAAATATTTTCTAACTAAAATAAAATAAAATAATAACACTTCACTAAAATTCAAGTTAAATTTTTTTTTGGAAAATCTTTTTAATTAATTTTTTTAATAAAAAACAAAACAGAGAAGGAAGTTTTTAAAACTTCTTTATGAAAAAGATACACATCCTTGGGAGAAAAATAGTTTCAAAGCTTGAAAGTTACAGCTCTATCATGCGACTCGCTGAAATAGAGATACAACGAAGGCGTCCACACACATAAGCAAGACCCAAAATTCCATCTTTGCTCATTATCCTCACGTGGGAAAGTTACTGCTGATTAAAGAGATGAAGAATTGGCTTATTACCATCTAATTAAAATCTTCAAAATAAAAATTATGAAAAATGGCACAATGTGCGCCCATGGGACTTGGGAGCATGTAGTTGTCAAACCAAGCAGCAACATCGGGGTGGATCGAGGAAAGAACATTTTAAGCTGTACTCTTACAGAGGTGTCTGGCCATTGGATGAAGTTGAAGACATAACAGAGAGAACATCTGTCACGGAAGACATGACACTCAAAGCAGCTTTCAGAACTTCCTGAGAGCACCCTGGTTTCACGATGTTTCTTACCTGCGAAATTGAGTGTAGACAATCACTGAAAGCAAAGCATATTTCAAATAGCAATCATATAACACATGGAAAGAATCCAGTCCAGTCAGAATTTTGTCAGCTGATCCTTCAGCATTGCAAAACCAGCTTTAACCAGAATCGACCACCACTTTATCAAGAATACAACAAGACAGATTATCTTGTATGAAAAGCGACAATACCAGCCCCTCCTACCACATGTTGCTCCCATCACTTTACACAAGCATGATGATAGAAAGTTTATTTTCAACCCCGAAGAATTAGCTCACCAAATACGCATAAACATTTAAAACAAAAGTATGAGATAGTGATACAATGAATGTGTGATGAACAAAGTGGTGTACTTCTTCTACACACAAAAGTCATTAAACTCCGTGCTTCGTAACTAGTTGAACAGTAGTTTCATCAAAAGAAACAAAATGGTTAGACAATCCACATTTAAATTTTAGACCAAATTAATCATGCTTTCCATTCCCCCCCTTTATTTTTTGACTTGTCCAAGAATTCAACAGGAACAGATCTAACACCATACAGCCTTCATACGCGGAGAAATAAGAAAATAATAACCATTTGCAAAGGAAAAGATGATCATCCAAAATATTGAGTGAATATTTAAATGTGAAACACATAATTGAGAGAATAAAGTACCTTGTCAAGGTATTCCTGCAGCTTCTTGATCCCGCCCATATAATCCTGGTCTTCAACACAGAGAGTTACAGCCTTAGAATCCGCACCAGGACCATCAAATTGAAGGGGACCTGGATTTCTGTACAGGTCATCCATCCAAAACCTTCCTGCATTTTGTCTCAGCAGCCTGCATTTAAGCCAAGCAGTAAAAACTAATTGCATGCTTCTCTGACTGCCATGGGGAATTTATGATCACAATATCTATAAAGTAACTGATTTTCCCTCTCTCTAATATCTGAATAACATAAACATTTGATGAATCATAAAAAAGAACTTACTCATATGCTTTGCCTTTCAAATCCACAGTAGCAGGATGAATAGCAGGTTTTCCAATTGAAGATGCACCAGGGCTTTGAGCCCAACGCTTCACTGTCATCATTGCCTACAATTTTACAAAATATAATATAGATAGGCTGTAAAAGAAGGGATTGCAATGCATGTAACATAATTTTTGCTAGGAAAAATAACTTTGCAGGGAAAAGAAGAAATCTGCCTTTAAGATAGAAATTAAAACTCAACTGTAATTGGAGCAGCACCACATCGCCACTTGTTCACAGGATTCTTTAGGTTAGTTACAGTGGTCATGTAACCATTCATACCAGCTGCTAAAATATGGTAGCTGACGTGCCCAAGAACCTATGAAAGAAATATACCACTCAGTATTAATAAAAGATACTTGAATTGGACTTAAAAAGAAAGAGAATACATATCAACCCTGGTTGATAACATACATAGGCATAGTCGCAATCGAATTTCGATGGTAAAGACCCACGGGCCTGATAACCAAAAAAGTGGCAGATAGCATTGAACTTTTTCCCCGTGTATGTGCCTCCTTTCTGCTCAAAACACCAAAAGACACCAGTAAAAAGCTAAGTCAATTGCAACAAGCATAACAATCATTAGACAGTTAACAGAAACCAACAATAGGACCATTTTGCTTGACATGAATTTCAGAAGTATATAGCAAAGCAATTATCTAGCATGAATCATAACAATGATGGGACTCATACAATCATTTCACGAGGAAACAAAATGTAAAATTATTGCTGTGCCACACGGAAGTTAAAGATATAATAAAATTATCGGGCCTAGGGAAATCAACAAAATGTAAAATTATTGCTGTGCCACATGGAAGTTAAAGATATAATAAAATTATCAGGGCTAGGGAAATCAACAATGTTAAAAAAAGAAAAAAAAGAAGCAATGTCATACCAGCCGCTTGTTCATTTCTGTCTCCACAAGATGAGCTAGAAGTTTCTCTGTTTCAATCTAGGGTAAAAACAAACAAGCAATCAATTTATCAACAACGTAATTTTTAATAGTTCCTTTTAATTAGAATTGCATGTTCATTACCTGGGATAATTGTGCCGAGTCATCTGATTCAGGATGAAGCAGCAGCTGTGCCATTAAAAATATTAATATTTTAGAAGATAAAATACCCATTTGCTTTAAATTGATTGAAAAATATCTTGAAATGCAAATCAGCAAGGGGAAATGTAAACCTGCTTCTTAATATATGGCGGCAAAAATTCAAATAAAGCAGATGTCCATGGTGAAAGCTGTGATGAAATGTTGTCAGGGGCAACACCATGCCTGAGTAAGCCATGTATTTCCTGAAAGATGCATAAAATTTCAGTACTCCCTTTCCGAGGGAAAAAAAAGGCCATCAAACATATGTATAGATGTATTTTACACACATGCAGACTGTGTTTGTAAGAGACTGCAGTCTGAAGGACAAAACCCACACATTCGCAAATGAGGCCAGGCAAGGAGATACAAAAGCAATTACCTTCAAGAGAGCATAGACCTCGGGAATGCTTTCTATGAGTCCCTCTGGCAGTAGAATGACTCCATGATTCTTGTCTGGTGCAATTAACCATGTCAGATGACCAATATTAGAATTTATCACGAAACATGATATACAATGACTTAGATTGTCCAAGACCTTGCACTGCTCGGGCTTGGACTGCATCACAAATTTGTGTTGTCAAGTCAAAAAGAGTGAGCTTTGATGCAGCCACCTCCTCACCAAGAATAACCTGCAAAAAGCAGCACAACCATTGTTCAGGAGAGAGAAAGATAAGCCCATAAAAGTTTCATTTGAAGCTCAAAGGGATACGAAAACAAAAGAAACAGGAACTGCAAAAGTGATGGACTACTAACCATGTTCGGATGAGACTGAAGTGTACATTCCAAAGCAACATGTGATGCCTTTCGGCCCATGAGCCGGATGAAATAATAATACTGGAAAATGAAAAAAGTTAACAAGTTTTGCGAAGACAAATTTCACAGTGAAGAATGTTGTCTACTATTCCTTAATCCTGTACCATCTCATTCATAATTACATCAACAAACTATACAATGATAGTGAATTCTTCACTGGAGGTCATGAATCAGAAAGTTGATGAACTTATTACCTTCTCTGCAGAGAGAGCATCCGTGCAGACATTGCTGATGAGCTGGGAATTGACCTGCAAGAGCGGAAAGCATGAAATTTTGTTTTATTAAATTAAATGCTTAATCATGCATACTCACAACATAAAAATTTAGCATTACGCCAAGCACCTGAGTTTCCCAAAGGACAGGATCAGACACCACTGCCAATTTAAGAAATTAAGAATACCAAAAACCAATTAAGGCTGACCTTTTCCTCCTAGATCATGAACCCAAGCACTTTCATTATATTGCACTGCTGCCACTATATGCAACAGAGTTTCATAGATTATCATATAGGAAAAATTTGAATGTGAGAATGGACAGTAATTCTATGAAGTTCTCCTTGATATGCTACTTGATTCAATGCAAATGGTCCTATAAATATACAAAATTTTAACATACACGGCAATACCTCCTGCTTTAATTGACTTTGATGCCACCTAAACCATCCATCTTTGTTTCTGTACTTCCATTTTACTAGAAGAAGTAACTTCCTCGACATATTGATTAACAGAGAACTGCATGGTGTCATTTGATCCATACCTTGCATATTGTATCAAAACCAACATTGGTTTCCACAAATTGATTCTTGAGATCTCCATTAAAAGTAACAGGAACACCAACCACCTGCAAAATTCAAACAGTGTCTTGTAAAATTCAGAGGCTGATAGCATAAAAGTACACTCAGGAACAGTTGCAAAGGCTGCTAGGAATACAAGCATGAACTATTTGTGACTGTTATTAATCCTAGGTGAGAAGACAAGCAGAGATACCTTTGTTGGGCATTTTGCCTCGGCAAATGTTTCAGCAAGCTGAGCGGCATCTGTATTTGAAGTAACTCCTTCAAAAGAAAAAAGCATCCGTATTTAGTAATTGTTGCAAAATTGCATCTGTATCTCTTTGTAAATACCAAAGTGTCAGGCTTACCTCCAATGATAACAAGGCCATCCAATTTCAGATCTTTGCATGCAGTTAGAGCAGCATTAACCTGTTCAGTTGTTCTTATTTGATCTTTTGTACGTCCCAGCAAATCATAACCACCTTGCATCTTTTGTCCGTCCCAGCAAATCATAACCACCTTGACAAGCATAACAAAATAACAAATCAATGAAGTGACAATCAAAGATCCCATCATGCAATCATATGATAATAATAAATACCTTGATTTTTGTAGGTTGAAAGAATGTCATCTGTAATTTCAAGTGTTTTCTGAGCGAATAAACCTTCAGAACCTCCTGTTAACAGATAAAAACATTTTATAATGTAGACGTCATTTGCTTTTAAATAAAACACAACAGGCTATAATGATGAAACAAACAAGCACACAATACGTGTTCATCAAAAACTTAAAAATGCAATGAGATTTGCCATAAATCCAAGACCATCAAATCCAAAGATGAAACACTTGTATGAGATGCCGTTGCTTATGCTCACCTAGAAATCCAAGTAAAGTGCTGTTAGGGTTATGGACTTTAAGAGCGTTGTGAAGACCCCATATGACATTATGTCCTCCAGGAGATTGTCTCCCACAAAAAACTATTCCGACCCTGTTGAGAGACACTAAATACATCAGCCAAATATGAGCTTTTTAAGCAGACACTCATAACAAGCAGATTGCAGAGTCTTAACTTTTCACAGAAACACATGCAGGTGCTTACCCACACACGCAAACAAAATCAGAAATTGAGAGAGGATTTGACAAGCAACTAGGTTTCCGATCATCCTTCCGGATAATAGTGAATTTCGAAAAAGGGCAGCAGCAGGAATAGGAAGAATGGATCGATCCCTTATTCAAAATGTAGACGCGTGGTTTGGATAAAAGTGATACAAAACAGCAGATTATAGTTGAAAGGAAAAGAAGACACTCATGAATCACCAGGACCCAAGGCATACCTGAAAGCTGGATGGTAAGTTATGATTTGAGCATCAGAGACTTTAGCAGTTGCCCTGAGGAAGTGAGCTAAAGGCTGGCCATAAGTGAGGGGAAAGGATCGGCTTATGCTGTGGACATCAGCTGGGTCTGCAGCAGTGGTTGCATCACCAAGTTCTACCCTCACTGCAGTTCCCTGGAAAATGCACAGATCCCAAACATATAAATGAAAAATCCAAGTCAGCAATTGAATAGAAAGGAATGAATGGTGAGGGTGAAATCAGTAACTTTGTGTTAGCTTTTGCGTTTTGAAAATGTAGATTCAAGAAAAGCTGTTTTTTCTCAAGCAAGGTCTCGATAGAGTTCTTGAGAGAGTGTTCTGTGGTAACATGCAAACCTGTGTATTGATTACCGTATCACAAAAACAAACGGAGCATGAGGCACGTTACAATCCAATATCAGTATAACATTTTTGCCTCGCTACTAATTCAAGTACAGCATACGCCTATCAAGCATAAAATACTGAAGGTAGATACATCCTCAAAAAGAAAAAAATAAGTCATCTCTCCTCTGTGTTGAGGTAGATCTACCAGCCGGCGAAAGTATAACGCAGATTAAGTACTCAACTAAGCGAAAAGATCAATCAAACATAACATCGATTGCAATAAATAAAAAAATAAACTGATACTATGGCATTATGTGTTGGTGTTGATGTTGTGGTCAATAGGGAGGGGAGAAAGACGGTGGGAAGAAGGGAGAGGGAGCAGGAGAGACCTGGAGACAGGGAGGGAGTTCTGGTTGGTAAAGAGATCGGAGTTTCTGGAGATCGGAAAGTTCTCTGGGAATGCCGAAATCGGAATCCATGCCGCTTTTATCTTCTTGTTCTGAGGTAGGTGAGGAGTTAGTAGAAGCAGGAGTGTCGCTGTGGTCGGGCGGTTTTATTTTTGTTAACTCCTTTAAAAAGGCCGTTTTTATAGGGGGGAGGGGAAATGGGAGAGAAAAAAGAAGACCGGGCGATGCTACCTACCAACCGTAAAGCCCACCCGTTTCGTCCTCTTGAAACGTGTTCCATTTATCCGCCATGGTTTCTAGGGTTTATTACGATGCGCCCCTTCTCTTAATCTATCTCCGGTGCCGTTACTATATTGCCCTTTCATTCCTCTACCATTTCATTTGCTAGATTTTGTCTTCTTCTCGGCCCCTCGTGCGCTGTTCTCTTTAAAATTAAACGCCCCCTGTTGTGATCAATTTTAACCGTTTGATTGACATCACGGCCACAGGTACTTTTTGGCAAATGGCAAGAGATTTTCAGACTTCTTTTCTTTTACTGTTGGGTGCGATAAAAAATGACAGAGGGCTTGGGGGTAATTGCAAGTGATTAGCTATGATACTTGATAGTTGGGTCGTATATCCCGAGGATGCATGAAGCCAGCAATATTCACGGGAATATGCCAGAAGGATATTCTGGTAACTTCATAGGGAGCCCACTGACTTATTAAGCAAGCATTGCAAGTCTGTAGAGTCTCTCTCACCTAACACTCCCATTTGAATTTCCCTTCTGTTCGGTAGCATTTCCTTTTTCTAAGTATTTTTTATTTCAAAATATATAATAATAATTTTTTAATATCAATTAATTAAAAATATTTAAAAAAAAAACACATATTAAAACAACACCCAAAAACAAAAGGTGTCACACCCTCAACACTTGTGCAAATTACTATACAATATATTAGGCTTGGTGTCACTCCTCCTATTTACTTTTACATAAATTATTACGAATTAAAGTAATATAATGATATACTTACAACAATGGAAGCAAAATTATTATTTTTATATGATGCATTTGATATTAAAAGAATAATTATAAAAGATTTTATTAATGCATGATAAGATTATCAACTTTAATCATCAAAATATGACATAATTATCAGACACCTAGCCTTGGGATCGGGTATGGTTGTCATACTCCAGGTGCTTGGGTCAGGCAAAGTAGCTAGGCCCCAAACATTTGGGTTAAGTAAAGCAACCAAACTCATAACTTTTAGGTCTAGTGTCCAGACCCGAAGCTCTTGAATATGATGTCCGGACCCAGTATTCTATGGTTCAGCGTTACAACCAAACCCCAGGTCTCTTGAATCTTGCAATCTTGCCAGCCCCGAAGCTCTTGGGGCGGGTGTCAAGACCCCAGGCTCTAGGTCAACTGCCCGGACCCGCAGCTCTTAGGTCCAGCACCTAGAGTTTAGAAGGGGCTCAAAGCTCTTGAACCTCGCGTTTCAGTCAAACTTACTTAAATTTAGGTCGGACAAATTTAATATTATTAATATTATTATTTGTATTATAAATATTATTTGTATAATTAATATTGAAAAAAATCATAGATTTGATTTGGATTATGAAATTAAAAATTATTGTTGTTGTTGTTATCATCATCATTATCGTCACTATCATTAATAAGTTTAAAATAAAATATCATTACTATTGAAGAAAAACCATAAATCTGATTTGAAGAGATTAAAAATTATAAAAACTTGGGTTAGATGAGTTTAATATTGTTATGATTAAATTTGAAAAAAAATACTATAAAAAAATTATAAATTTTATTTAAAGAAATTAAAAACTATAAAAACTTGAGCCATACAAGTTTAATATTATTAGTAATATTATAAATTTTATTATAGTCATTAATATTATTAAATTTGAAATAAATATAATTACTATAAAAAAAACATAGATTTGATTTAAAGGATAAAATCAATTATTATTATTATTAGTAGTAGTAGTATTTTCATTGTTAACTTAGGTCTGACATCCATTTCCAGCACCAGGTAACCTGGGGCTGCATGGAAGCGTTAGATTCAAGTTTATTAGGTCCGGAAGGCTCTTGAACCTAGCATCTAAGAGGGACCTAAAGTTTTTGGATTTAATGTTGCAGTTAGATCCATTTAAACTTGGGTCAAGCAAGTTTAATATTATTAATAATATTAAAAATGTTATTATTTTATTATAATTAATATTATTAATTTAATAATTAATAAATTTTTAATAAATTATTAATATTGAAAAAAACATAGATTTGATTTGAAGTATAAAATAAAAAACTATTATCATTAATGAATTTAAAATAAAAATACTATTGATATTGAAGAAAAAACATAAATTTGTTTTGGAGAAATTAAAAAATATAAGAACCCAAGTCAAACAAATTTAATATTATAAATATTATTACATTCATTAATATTATTGAATTTTAAAAGAATATTATTATTATAAAAAAATATATATTTGATTTGAATTGCAAAAACAATTATTATTATCATTATTATTATCGTCATTATTATTAACTCAGGTATAATATTTCCTTTCAAATCCAAGTTTCTTAGGTTTGATTAGGACATCACACCGAAGTCACTTAAGTTTTACAGCTCCACCAGGATCAAGGCTTTTTGATCCACCATTTGGACCTAATAATTTTATATTTAGTATTGCAGCTCGCTCAAAGTTTTTGGATCCGGTATTAGAATCCAAGGCTATAAGGTCTAGTGTTCGAGTTTACAACTCTTAGGTCTAGTGTCCGGACTCAAAGTTCTCTAGTTTTACATTTAAAAGAGATTTAAAACTCTTAGATTTGATGTTGCAACCATAACCACTTAAACTCAGGTCAGACGAGTTTAATATTATTATTTATATTATAAATATTATTACAATTTATATTCTTAATATTAATAAATTTGAAAAATATATTATTAATATTGAAAAAAAAAACATAGATTTGATTTAAAGTGTAAAACTAAAATTTATTATCATCAATAAATTTAGAATAAAATATTATTAATATTAAAGAAAAACCATAAATTTGATTTAAAATGATAAAAAACTATAAGAACTTAGATCAAACAAATTTTGATAAAAAACTATAAGAACTTAGATCAAATAAATTTAATTTAATTTAATTGTTATTATTATTATATTATTATCATCATCAAGGGAGCTAAACCCCAAAAACTTGAATTTGACTGGGGTGTCATATTCAAGTTTATAATTATTAGTATTCTCATCATTATCATTAATAATATTATTAATATTGTTTAAAAGCTATTGATATGGATACGGACCCGATTAGAGGTTTCCGAGGAATGCATCTTACAAGGGCCTGGTACATGAGACTACAAGAAAATGTTCCCCACAAGTTAGAGTAGTTTTGTCCTTTAGTTTGAATGCTAGTTCCGAATCATGCAAGCGATCGAATAGGTTCCTTTCTTTCATACGAGCGAATAGCTTGCAGCAGGACATTTAGAAGGCACTCACTGAAGGAATGAAGGATAGGCTTTTTTATCTAGGTCCTGCCCTATAGGTGGATACAGACTCAGAGTCAAGACCAGTGACAGCTACTATGGACATGAAAATCTCTATCTCGCCTGCGAATCCGTGGCTAGTCATTCCCACCTTCATAGCATAGGAAAGATCGCCCAGTCCGGATCGAATCTAACGGCTATAGTAATATTTATGGCTATTGAATAATAATAATAAAAATAATAATATTAAATTTGTTTGATCGAAGTTCTTATAAATTTAATTTTTTTAAATAATATTTACGGTTTTTATTTGATATTAATAATATTTTACTTTAAATTTAATAATAATAATAATAATAATTTTACAATTCAAATTCAAACTACATCTATTATTTTTCAATATTAATAATTATTTTTAAAAATATTATTACTATTAAAAAAACCATAAATTTAATTTAAATGGATAAAAAAATATAAAAAATTGAGTCAAAATTTTAATATTATTATTAATATTATAAATATTATTATTTGTATTATAAATATTTTTATTAATATTATAATTAATATTATAAGCATTACTATGAAGTTTGGAGTTTTGCAGATAAATCAATAAATCAATTAAGCTAAAGACTCTTGAATTAGTGTTAAAGTTAAACACAATACTATTTAATCTTAGTTTTTTTTCTTATGTTTTATTACAAAAAAAATTGATCCACGTAACTCAAACTCCCTACCTAGTAATAACTAAAAGGAGATAATTTTTTTTTTTTTTGCTTTTTAATGCTTATCAACAATATATTTTACTCTAAAAATATCAAATTAATATATTTTTTATGTTTATATTAAAAAATAAAAAAATATATTTTAAAACAAAATACTTTAAAAAAATATATTGATAACAATTCCAAACATGCTAAGATCCTCTTAAAAGTGCAGTAGCTTATTTTAAAAAAAATTAATATTTTTTTTGGGTTTTTAATAATTTTAATATATTACTATTGAAAAATAAAAAAAATATTTTCCTGTATTTTTTTAAAAGAATAATTTTACAGAAAGCACCAAGATAAGGTTGGATTTTAATTTAATGCCCCTTGAGGCAGCTTCTAAACCCCAAGCAGTGACAGACACTTTTACCCCCGCAGAGAAGATTGATTCACAGTGCTCACAGCACCCCTGCTGGGTTTCTCTTCTGATTTCCGAGAAGAGATGACCACGTCTGAGAAGCCTTGGTCTGAAAATCAGTTCGATCAAATTACATAACACCAATAAACGCAAATTTCTCTTTATATGCTTGCTAGAGCTCTTGAAAAGTTGAGCCATGTGATTCCCCAGTTGTCTAAACGAAGAATGCATAATGAACGAAGAACGCATAATGCAGTCCCGGCTGCCTACCAGCATTTGTTTCCTCGCAAAGTTTCAAAGACATTTCAAAGACAGAAAAGGAACCTAAACCACCACTTCCATTTCAAATGTACATTCAAAGTGCAAGGACATGAAGAGAAGATTTTCAGTCAAAATTCAAACATGGATACGATGAAGAGTTTCTAATTGTCAATCACGGAACAGCATTATTCTATGTGCTCATCGAAACATTCAACCAGCTTTGATCACTCAGCACAACATGATAAAGAGCTCTAGACCTTAA